TGCTGCTGCTGCTGCTGCTGCTGCTGTGTGCTGCAGCTGCCGACAGTTCCGCTGCAGCTACCCGCGTGCTGCCTCCGGCAAAGGAGGGGAAGCCTCGCGCAGCAGAAGCAGAACGTCCTGCTGCTGCTGCTGCAGCAGCTGCTGCTGCTGCTGTCCCCAGGGTCACCTTGCCGGGCTTGGGCAGCCTGCTGCAGCAGCAGCTGCAGCAGCAGCAAGAAGAGAGAGAGGGCCTCCCGTGGCTCCACCGCCTTTGCTGGGAGATTGTGGGGGGCCCTGCTGCTCAAGAAAAGCTGCAGCAGCAGCAGCAGCAGCAGCAGCAGCAAACGGCGTTGGGAGCTCCTGATATGGACGAAGAGCTGGCCCCCGTTTGCAGAAGTGCAGCAGGTGAAGTTTTGCTTCCTGTCTTGCTGCTGCTGCTGTTTGTTTCTTTTATATCTTTTTAATTCTTTTCTTTTTCATTTTCTTTATTTTATTTTAATTTATTTTCTTCTTATTTTTCTTTTTGATTTGCTGCGCTGCTGCGCTCAGAGCTGCTGGCAGCAGTTCTAGGGGCTCTTGCTGCTGCTCACGAGGACGCGGCCAACGCAGCAGCAGCAGCAGCAGACCCTGCTGCAGCAGAAGAGGCAGCAACAGCAGCAGCAACTGAGAGCCTGCTGCAGCTGCTGGGGCCTACTCGTGTTGCTGATGCTCACAGAATAGCAGCAAGAGGAGCAGCACTAATTGATGCTGCAGCAAGGCTGCAGATGTCTACAGAGCAGCAGCAGCAGGAGCAGCAGCAGAAGCAGCAAAGAGCAGGGCCCACACTCATTGGAGCCTCCGTGCGTCCTGCTGCTGCTGCTGCTGCTGCTGGAGCAGCAATTGCCGCTGCTCTCTTGCGACTTGCTGCTGCAGGCACGTCTAACCAGCGCGTCGAGACACCAATACTTTCTACTACGTTGCTGCTGCTGCTGCTGCTGCTGCTGCTGCAGGTGAAGTTTGTTTCCAGCAAAAACCGAAAAGGCGGGGGAGACGCAGGGCCCCCCCGAGGCCTCTTAAGGGCCCTTGCTGACGCAGGGTACTTCAAGGTGCCCAAGCCATTAACGCCACGTTCGTCTGCTGCTGCTGCTGCTGCTGCTGCTGCTGCTGCTGCTGCTGTTTCCGCTGCCGCTGTTGCGCGTGCTGCCTCTGCTGCCTCGCCTTCCTCTCTGGCGCTTGCTGCTGCGGCTTCTCGCGCGGCAGCTCCCCCCCCTGGCGCCCGCGCCTCCGCCTCCGCAGCAGCAGCAGCAGCAGCAGCAGCAGGAGTCCCTGTTTGCTGCAGCGGTCTCCGTGCTGGACGCCTACGCGCTGCTGTCCCCCCGCAAAGGCCTTTGCGGCTGTCTCCCCGAAGGCTCGAAAGTCACTGACAGCAAAACGGCCTACGAGGTCTTCATCCCAGCCCCCACGCCCGCCCCCGTGCGCCCTGCTGCTGCTGCTGCTGCTGCTGCTGCTGCTGCTGCTGCTGCTGCTGCTGCTGCTGCTGCTGCTGCTGCTGCTGCTGCTGCTGCTGCTGCTGCTGCTGCTGCTGCTGCTGCTGCTGCTGCTGCTGCTGCTGCTGCAGCTGCTGTTGCTGCTGCAGCAGCTGCAGTAGCAGCAACAGCAGCAGTAGCAGCAGCAACAATAGCTGCAGCAGCAGGAGCAGCAGCAGCTGCAGCAGCAAGAGCAGCAAGAGCAGCAACAGCGGCTGCAGCAGCTGCAGTAGCAGCCGCAACAGCAGCAGCAGCAGCAACAGCTGCAGCAGCAGAAGCAGCAGCAGCTGCAGCAGCAGCTACAGCAGCAGCTGCAGCAGCAGCTGCTGCTGCTGCCGCTGCTGCAGCTCTTGCAGCAGTTGCTGCTGTTGCGCTGCAGGCGGCTCCATCTTGCTCCAGCCGTGAGGAAAAGCAGCAGGCACTCACGCAGCATAAACTACAGCATTTGCTGCAGCAGCAGCAGCAGCAGCAGTGCTGCTGCTGTATGCAGCCAAAGTGGCCGAGTATAAATATTTAGAGTTTCGAAAATAAATAAATGAATTCATTTTCTCGGAGAAGCAAATTTAGAACGACCAATTCGTG